GACGGGGCCCAATCACAGGCGAGAACAGCCAGACTCCAAACGTAGGCGCCAAATTCCCGCGATCCGCCGCGGCCCCGGGTCTCCGCCGCCGCCGCGCACGCACTGCAGCCTCCTCTCTCCGCCTGTACTGAGCGAGGAGGATCTGCACGCAGTAGGCGCGTAATAAATACGAATTGGTTGACAGGATTGGTCGGTTTGGTGGATTTATAAAAGCTTCTTCCTGGGAACCGCCGGGCTAGGTTGGAATCGACACCCCGCCTCCAATTAATCCCTTTATCTTGGGTAAATCATTTCTCAGATTGGAGCCTCATTTTCCTCTTCTGCAAAATAGGTAGACTGAGCCTTACCTCCAGGGTTGCAAGGATTTTTAAATATTTTGTCCACTGCTTTGTACCCCAGTGCCTAGTAAATGCCCAATGTTTGTTAACTGAATCTACAGATACTTATTAAATTCTTGTAATGTGCTAGGCTCCCTTTCTAAGTCGCTAAAGAGCAGCGAACCACAGTTTCTCTCTTAATTGAGGTTCTGTGCCAGGTGAGACAAATCAAGTAGGTCACCTTGGGCAAGTTAATCAACTTTCTTGTGTCTCCATTCCTCATCTGTAAGATAACAATAATTGTAGGATTCACTGAGCTTGTACTATTAAAGCACTTACAACAGGACAGGGCCTTGCACACAAAAAAATAGGTATTATTAAAGACACGATATAGCTTTTTACAAGAAGTGTAATGGAGAAAAAGAATGAGCTAAAGAGTTCCTGGGGATTGGGGACAGGCCATTGTGATAGTGTGATCACTTAAAGACTCTTATATGTAAAATTTCAAAGTTATGTATAAATTGCAAGAATAGTAAAGAATTCTCATGCTTTTCAACCAGAATAACAAATTGTTATATTTTGCTGCATTCTCATTATCACGTTTCTCTGGTGTATATATGTGTGTAAAACATGAATTTTGTTTTTTTTCCTAAATCATTTTAGAGTAAGTTTCAGACATCATGTCCCTTTATCACCATATGCTCTGTGTGTATTTCCTGAGAACAAGGACGTTCTCGTGCATAATCTCAGTACAATTATCAAAATCAGCTATTTTAATAATATGATTCTTTTACTTAATACACCTTCCATATTTAAATTTTGCTAATTGTCCCAATAATGTCCTTTAAGGTATTCCCAAGGATCCAATTGAGGGTCACTTGTTGCATTTAGTTGTCATGTCTCTTTACCTTTCTTTAATCTGGAAGGACAATTACTTAGCCCTTCATCTTTCATGCCCTTGGCTTTTTTAAGAGTGTTGGTGAGTTATTTTGTAGATGTCCCTAAATTTGGATTTGTCTGAAGTTTTCTCATGATTAGATTCAGGTTATGCATTTTGTCAGGAATACCACAGAAAGTTGGGTTCTCAATGAATCACAATGGGAGGCACATGATATTGATTCGTTCCCATGCTGGTGATATTAACTTTGATAATTTGATTAAGGTGGTGTCCACCACGATACTCCACAGAAAAGTTCACTGTTTTTCCCTTTGTAACTATTAAGCATCTTATGGGAAGATATTTTGAGACTATCCTGTTCTTCATCAGACTTTCAGCATTCATTGATGATTCTTACATGGATCAATTATTATTGTTGTTGTTGCAAAATGGTGATTGAAAGGCCTCTGTATTGGTCTGTTAGGTCTGCCCATAATAAAATTCCACAGACTGGTGGCTGAACAGAAATTTGTTTTCTCACAGTTCTGGGGGCTAGCAGTTCAAGATCAAAGTGTTGGTAGGTTTGGTTCCTCCTGAGACCTCTACTTGGTTTACAGATGGCCTGCCTTCTGACTGTGTCTTCACAAAACCTTTCCTGGGATATCTTTTCCTCTAGGACACAAATTAGATTGGATTAGGAGCCCAATGGGCTCTTTAACTTTATCTCCAAATATGTTACATGCTAAGGTACTGGGGGGTTGTGAATTCAGCAGGCAAATTTGGGTATCGTTGAAGTTGGGTGTGAGACACAATTCAATCTATGACAGTCTCCGTGAAATATGACATCAAGCTGAGACCTGAAGCCAGCCATGCTAAAACTAGTGGAAAGGCATTTAAGGAAGAGGGAACAAGTACAGAAGCCTTGAAACACAAACAAAATTGATGTTAAACTTCAGCCAATTGGTGAGAGTGTAAAATTGTACAATCACTTTGGGGAAAATAATCTGGCAGTTTTTTATTCATCTACTTATGGCCCAGCGATTCTATGCTTTGGTATTTATCCAAGAGAAATGAAAACTTATGTTCACAAATACATTTGCATAAGAAAGTTTACAGTGGCTTTTCCCATTAGAGTCCCAAATTGAACTCTGATGTTTATCAAGAAATGAATGGAGCCCTAGCCGGTTTGGCTCAGTGTGGATAGTGTCAGCCTGTGGATTGAAGATTCCTGGGTTCAATTCTGGTCAAGGGCACGTATCTAGGTTGCAGGCTTGATGGTCCTAGTCAGGGTGTATGCGGGAGGCAACCAATGGATGTGTCCCTCTCACATCAATGTTTCTCTCTATCTGGCTCTCCCCCCTCCCTCCCACCCTCTCTAAAAATCAATGGAAAAATACCCTATGACATGCTGCTTGGGGGAAAAAAGGGAATGAAGTATTGATACAATAACATGAATGAATCAAAATAATTACACTGAGTAAAAGAAGCCAGGCACAAAAGTGAACATACTGAATTATTCTGATAAACAATTCTTGAAAATGCAAAACTAGTTTGTAGTGACATAAAGCACATCAGTAGTTGGGGTGGGAAGGCAGGGATGGAATACAGAGGTGTAGGAAACTTGTCAGGGTGATGGATTTGTTATCTTGAAATTCTCGTGTGCGAATAGTTTCAAGGGACATATGCTAAAACACTTCAATACTTTCAATAGGTGCTGTTTATGTACATTAATTTTACAGCTTCACCTCAATAAAGTTATAAAAAATGGAGGAAAAAGTATATATGATTCCATTATAAAGTCAAGCAACACTGAACCATGTGGCAGGAATTATATCAGTGGTTATCTTTGGGGTGAGAATTGACAACTAAGGGACACAAGGCAATTTTCTGGGTGGTAGCATTTTATTGTATGCATATTATACTGCACTAAAGTTGATGCAAAAGGTGAAAAAACAAAATCCTGCCACCAGGAACACCCATATCTTTACTTAGAGCTTCGAAGGACCAGAGGCTGCCTGGTACTCAGCAGGGCTGGCCCATTCCTGCAGTCACTGGCCCTATAGGCTGAGCAGGGCCAGTGGAGTCTCTCTTCTGGTTGGTTTCCTGACCTGAATTTTAAGAGAGACGGGGTCTGAAGGACTAGGACAGGGGTCCTCAAACTACGGCCCGCGGGCCACATGCAAATACAAATATTGTATTTGTTCCTGTTTTGTTTTTTTACTTCAAAATAAGATATGTGCAGTGTGCATAGGAATTTGTTCATAGTTTTTTTTTAAACTATAGTCCGACCCTCCAACTGTCTGATGGACAGTGAATTGACCCCCGGTTTAAAAAGTTTGAGGACCCCTGGTCTAGGATATCCACAAGGTGTGAAATCCTTTTGTATGCTGTGAGAAGGACCAGCTACTTGCAAAATTGTTGCTGGCTTGAGCATTTTTTTTCTTTATTTTTCTTGAATTGCAGCAGTAACCTATTCTTAGTATGGCTAATAGCCAACTTTTACTCAAGTTTTCTATCTGTCAGGCACAGAAACGAACAAAGCATTCTCATGCCAATCCTGTGATGTAGTTACTCTCATTAGCTCCATGTTACAGATGAAGAGACTGAGGGAGGAGGTCACACAGCTGGGATTGGAGCTGAGACCCCAGGCTTTTCACACCACCTGACCCTGCTCAGCTCTCCCTGCTCAGCATTTTCAACCAACATGCCTACCTCCATATCCCTGGAGCCTCAGACGTGTCAGACACATGGCTGGAGCTCAATATTTAGTGACAGAAGAAATGGAGGAGAAAGGGAAGGGCAACAGTGAGGTGTTAGGCCCTTTCAGTGGGCCCCTCCCTGCCTCGCGGGACTGACAGAAAATAAGACATCATGGGATTATGTGACTCCAAACCACCTTAGTTTACAGAGGACAATAAAGCAGGGTGGGCACTGCTTTCGAGTGGATGGTTTGGGAAACCTCTCTGAGGAGGTGACCTTTTTTTAAAAAAAATATATTTCATTGATTTTTTACAGAGAGGAAGGGAGAGGGATAGAGAGTTAGAAACATTGATGAGAAACATGGATCAGCTGCCTCCTGCAAACCTCCCACTGGAGATGTGCCCGCAACCCAGGTACATGCCCCTGACCTGAATCAAACCTGGGACCCTTCGGTCCGCAGGCCGATGCTCTATCCACTGAGCCAAACCGGTTAGGGGTGAGGAGGTGACCTTTGAGCAGAGAACCGCCTGAAGTAAAGGCATCAGCCAGAGGCAGATTTACTAGAAGAGCATTCCGCGTCAGAGGAAGGAGTGCAGAGGCCCTACGATGGGCGCTGGGAGGAGCTGTGGGAAATGAGAGGGAAGTGGGGTCTGGAGTGGGGGCTGTCATGCGGCAGGGACTGGAGGGCCATGGTGAAGACTGGATTTGTCAAGCATTCTCCGTATTTCAAGCACACGGTCAGCGGGGTAGTTGGAGAGAGCTGACACTCAGGTAGGACGTCATGCTAAGGACTGTCCCCCATGTACTTGAGGGGGTGAGAACCAGCCTTGGGGGTGGTTCCATGGAAAAGCAGGGGGCTCTGGCCTGGGAAGGGAGGGTTGGGTGGAAGGGGATTATGGGAGGGTTGGGTGGAAGAGGATTGTGGGAGGATGGAATCTGGGAGGGGGCTGAGACTGCTCCAATGGGCAGTGAAAGGTTGGTGGGAAATGAGGCAGGGCTGGGGGCTGGAGGTGGCATGGGGTTATGGCAGTTATAGCAGAGGGAGGCAAGGGCGAGAGGGGGTTAAGGGAAGAGAAGCTGATACAAGGGTCTTGGAGGGGGGCTTCAGAGGGCCTTGGAGGTACTGAAGGACGGAAGCTTGAGCTGGCTGCCTGGAGGGCCATCTCCAAGAAAAACTTACAACTATGTGGGAGAGATGGCTTGTCCCATTTTATGAATGGCAAGATTGAGCCACGGAAACTTACATCACAAGTGAGTGGAATGGCTGGGACTTGAATCCTGGCAGCCTTAGGGTTTTGTATCCAAGCTCTCAACCATTATACAGATGTGCATAAGCTTGAGAGCCCATCAGCATTATCTGAAAGGCTGGTTAAAGCCCAGATCGCTGGGCCCCACCCCCAGAGCGGCTCATCAGTGAGGCATGGGTAGAGCTTGATAATCTACATTTCTAACAAGGTCCCAGGTGATGCTGATGGCGATGTTGCTGGCCCAGGGACCACACTTTGACAATATTACATTACACTACACTACACTGTCCTTAGAGGGAGCACAAAGCTGAGGTGACTGTAGAGAATTTAGGGAGGAAGTGGAGCTATTACATAGAAAACTGAGCAAATAAGACACGAGGTGATAATTAAAGGCAACACAATAAAAATTATAAGAAAAACAATCATCATAAACTATAATGCTCAGCTGGAAATAATATATTGTCATTACAATGTAAAATCAACACATTGTTTCAACCAAAAATTATGGTATAATTATTTGTGGAAACTTGGAGTGTGTGTATGTGTGTAGAGAATAAAGAAAGGAAAACAATTCTTTTTTTCTATAGCTGTAGTTAATGGAAAGGTGTATAATTACAATATCTTGAGGTGACACCTATAATCAGGATTGAAGAGGCAATCACAGATTTAGGTATTGCTTCATGGGATAAGACTTGGGGGTGGGATAGGATTTTTGTTATAAGCCTTGTAGTAATATTTAACTTGAAGAGTAACTAATCTTAAACATTACATATGTTTGTTACTAGGGTTAAAATGAAAAGTGGGTGTGGGCTTTAGCCACCACTGAGCCAGCCTGTCAGCTTGGTGGCGCTGTTCAGCTGCTGGCCATGACGTTCACCTGTTGTCCTGCATCACCTAAAAGCATCTGGAGGGTTACAAGCAGCCAAAGCCCGAATCACACCCTGAAAACACTGCACCAGAGACACTGTCTCCAGCAGGACTCAACAGAGTCCTAAACAAGGGTCCAAGTTGCAGAACCAACGATGGAAGCAAATACAGCCACCCTGCTTCACATTTCAAAGGTGCTTCCTATCAGCCACTGAAAGGGCTCAGCAATCCCAACACTTCTCCTCTCTCATCTGGGAATTGCATAAAAATTCTTTGTCAGGCTATATTTGCAGCAGAAAATTGGTTGCTAAGTTCCTAGCCGCTGTTTATGGCTTTTGGAAAGATAAAGGAATACATTACAGAACTAGCGGGGCAAAGTCTTTAATTCTGTGATATTAGGATATTCAGAATAAATGATCGTGGAATCTGGTTGAAATGTACACAACCATAAGGCAACAAAGTACACTCATTGATCAAAGTGTAAAGCAATAACAGCCTTTTAGGAAGGCAATTTGATCATTCATTGTTTATTAATATATTTTAAAATTAATGGACTTTGGCCCAGCAATTTTATTCCTAGGGTTTATCCTATAGAATACTTGCCCAAGTGTGGAACAATATATGTGCAGCAAGGATTTTGGTGGTCATTTGTAATAGTAAAATATTAGGAATACTCAAGTACCAAAGGCAGGGGATTAGTTACGTACCACCACACATTTGAATATAATGTAGGAAAGCAGGCATTAGCTCTGTATGTACTTCCAAGAACAAATATTTGCTATATATTCGTACATGAAAAAGCAAATGTAAACTAGGATCTATAGTGTGACCTCATGTTTAAATATCCCATATAATAAAGAGAGAATATGCAAATCGACCGTCACTCCTCCACAAAGATGGCTGCACCCACAGTGGAGGCCAAGTTCCTGTAACGAGCCTTAACGAGCAATCAGCAGGGGCTTGACGGGACCTCAGGCCATGCCCCCCCACCTTGGCGCCAGGCCAGGGGACCTCAGGCCGTGCCTCCCACCTGGTAGGGCTTGACAGGGGACCTCAGACTGCCCCCCCCACTGGGTAGGGCTTGACAGGGAACCTCAGGCCACACCTCCCACCCGACAGGGCTTGACGGGGGACCTGAGGCCGTGCCCCCTGTCCCAGCGCCAGGCCAGGGGGCCTGAGGCTGCGCCCCCCGCCTGCAGGGCTTGATGGGGGACCTCAAGGTGCGTCCCTCACCCTGGTGCTGGGCTGGGAGTGTGTGTGGGAGTGTGGAGACCTCAAGCTGTGCCCCCCACCCCGGCACCAGGCCTGGGGACCTCAGGGCTTGACGGGGGACCTCAAGGTGCACCT